CAAGGGTGCACAATGTATTTTGGAAGTTTAAACAGGTAAGAACTCCCTGAACAGTCATTAAGTGTCTACCAAGGCTAACAAATCTGATTAAGTCATTTAAGTGCGATCTCTCCTGTCTAAATTTGAGGTGACTGCTTTTGGCCAGACTGGATGTGTACAACCGTTTTCAGTTTATAAAAAGAATTTGTTGCCAATGCTAAGTTGAAATGCACAGATCTTTCCCTAACTTAGGCTATCGTTTTCATCAGTACTTTCTTGGTAGAGACAAAATTAATTTGGATGGCCATTACAGAATAATTATGCAACTGCGTATTTTAAACATTTTTGCTTACTGAATTCCCACTTTTCCCAGTATCATAATATTAGACTTCTTTGCAGTAAAGATTTCCAATATTTACAATGCTTAGAGAAACCCTTAAGAAAAGGGTTTTTCCACAGTGAATCACAAACTGTATTTTGGGAAACAGCACTTCAAGGACAAATATAATGCACTACGAAATTATGTGGGAAGACAAAAATCATTGATGTTTTCAGCTGCCGTGATACAGAGTGCTTCCAAAAAGTGTGATAAAACCTACCAAGGAGTTCCTGCAGCCTCTTTCCCAGAAGAAAAGAAAAATGTTATCAGGGATATTTTTTCATCTACCAAGTCAAGCAGTCATTTCAAATATTTGACAGTGATTTCCAGGGGTCTGTTAGATCCAAGACACATCTTCACACACAGGGGATGGAACAAGTTAAAAACTAGGATTACTTAATAAAGAATTTTAACTACAAGCCATTTTTCAATTTTAATACAGCCACTGCTTACTACATTTCTGTTTGTTCTTGCTGGAAGAAATAATAAAAGTTTTTCTTATAATGATATGAGAGACCATTGATAAAGATTCCTGAAGCTACTACTAATTATAACAATTAGAAGAAAATAATATGGTTAATGACAAACGTTCTCTTCTTTCTTCTGTTCATTTTGCTTCCTACACCTGTACCTTATACACACACTCAGAAGTGTCTGCAGCTTTGGTCTCTTTCCTTGGCCCCTACTTTCCTGCCCTGAGAGAGACAAGCTACCCGCTGCCCTCCAGCTTCACGCTACATTCTCCACTCCTAAGCAGCTGCAAACCAAGCAGTCAGCCCAGGTTTGCAGGCCTTACTCACTGTGCTCTACAATCACCTTTACAAGACTGTCACTGATGAGTGATAGATCAAGGCAGGGAGATATCCCTGAATCCAAGTACCCTCTCTTGCAGTATATGCTGAATTCAACATAGCACATGTCAATCACTTCCTATGTTTCAAGAAATCCATTCCTCTTTTATAGTTAATGAATCCTGAAATGATGGCTGCGACAATTAGCTGTCAGTTTTTAAGTTTTTTTGATGTAAAATGCATTGAAGCCCCTAGAATTAAAATAAAAGTCTGCCACAAAAATAAAACAAAGCAACATTTTGTCGTCTTGCTCTCAGATGAGGACAGAAACAAAAGCTTCTTAGCTTTCATTTTCTTGAGCAACTGTACCCAAGGCATAAATTCCTTTATATTTTTAAATGAGGTGTATGTTTTATCTTCAATGCACAAATAATTTTAACTACCTCCTTTGAATGCTCAATTTTCAGAATTAATTTTCTCGTTCAGTTCTTCAGCTTCCCTTTGCACGCTTCTATGCCCCCAACCCCTTCGTTTTCACTTTTAACTGAAATGCAATTTTGTTGGCAGGTTCAACCACAACATTACTTGACAGGTCTACAGAGGCAGCTCCAGCAGAGGCCAGGAGCCAGCACAAGGAGTGCTGTAAGTTCTGTGAATGTGAGCAGTAAATGCATAAGAAATGAAAGATATAAAGACAGACAAGAGTACAAAAGAACCAAACAAAATCCTATTGTACTGAAATTCTACACACCAGAAGATGGATGGATAGCTGTCAAGCTTTTCATAAGTATACAAAAAGAGATGGTTTTGCAGAAAGCATTATAATAGCAAACTAGATGTTTACAACAGTGAAAGGCAATATTGGTGAAAGCAGAAGTGTTCATTTGCAGGTACTTACCTAGCAATTAGCTTTGGCTAATTCCAACTTTTGCTAAGAGAAACAGACAACATGCTTGCTGATAGCACTCAAGAGATGATCAACAAGCACAATCTACAGAAGTCCACATTTTATGGAAGATGAAAAGAGATCAGAGCAGTGGAAGGAAACAAAGGGAAGGGTGATGTAGTACAAGTAACAGACTAGCAAAATTACCCATACAGGTAAAAGCAGGGCAATTGCACTTTAGAGCCAGAAAGAAGACTTACAGCAAAACAATCAAAATATAACAGTCAGAAAAGGATAGAGAGAGTGTAAGTTACACTACCTTCCTGTTTGAGCACTCTGGAAATAGCATCAAGACCTAGACATAGCTCAGACATGAGAGTCTGGGGGGAAAGAAGGGTCATGCATAGAAGTTAGTGATGATGCCCATGTACAGAACTTGAGCAAAAGGCCCCATGTTGCACAGCAGCTCTGTACACGGAGAGTTTGCCATTTCTAAGAGATATCACACAGACAAGTTGTCTGTTGAACCACTTAAGCTACCCACATCTATTCGACATACTCCCCTGTTCTTTTTATTCATATCAAAACTACTGTATTTTCTCAGTTCTACATTTCCTAGAAGCAAACATGTTCTTCCACACTTTATCGCGTTACATTCAAAGGTTTTTACATACAGCTTTGTCCTTTCACACTGCAACAAGGGTTGTTCTGGCCCTTCTTCTGCAAGGTGAAGGAGTACAGAAAGTCAAAACAGTAGCTCTAGCAGTGACAGATTAGATCACGTAAATTGCTGCAAAGTAAATTCTGACAATAGAAAGTAACCCCTGATCTTGACCAAGTCAAAAGCAGACAAAAAGGTGGGCAAGGCAGAGAAAGTATGCACTAGACAACTGCTGCTGGGTTGAAATAAACAGTCAAGGGTGGACAGTAATCTTGCTTCTGACTATTATTAGGTACTTTGTAATGTATTTCTTCTTTTTCATTCCTTCACACTAGTTGTACCACAGGAAATCTACACACTAAACAAATGACAGGTTTGCAGCATTTAATCCTCTTCACTTCAATCTACCTGAGGATGATCCAGTCTAAGCTAATGACCATCCAAACAGAAAAGTTTCTCTCCTCTCTCACCCCATTTTCTAGGTTCTTGGCTCACATCTGCAAGCTCTTCCCCTTCCCTAACCTTAACCACAGCTTTGGGGCTCCTGGACTTCATCCGGAAGTTGTTCAATCTACTAACTGGATGGCAAACTAATCCAACAAAACCAGAAGATTCTCATTCCAGGTTAGTGACTGGAAGTGGTTTAGCTGCTATTGGTACTGCAATGACCTGTACAAAGGAAGCAGAGGAACCACACTGCAAACACCTGCGAGAATCAAGGCATGTTCATGTCACTGACAAAGGGCTCTTCTCACAGGACTCACTGTCTCTTGGGATAATTCAACTGAAAAAGCAGAATCCCAGTCACTTGCACCTTCCTCCCAATGACTTACTGCTTCCTAGCCAGTACCAGCACTACCTGTCACAAGACCCACTTTGTGACCCAGCACAACTCATGGCAGCGGAGTAACATTTCGTTCTGTCTTGCGGGGCTTCTCTACCATGTTGAGGAGCCAGAGTTGCAGTTTTATCTCAGCAGCACATGAAACCATCAAACTTGCAAATCTACATTAATCTCCATGGTTTGTAGTCACAAACTGTTTCAGACTTACAATACTCTTTACACTATTGTAATAATTTCCTAGCATGCATTTACAACTGCATATACCCTCTTCCCTATTAATGAGCTACAGAATAATCAAAAAGCTTCCAGTGTAGGGATCTCAGTTCTAATTCAGATACAAGTAAGTGACAAATAGTTGTAATGAACTAACAATTTCACTACCTGAAATACAGATTAGGTTCATTTTTTTTGCAATTTCACACACAACCTAATGAACCCAACATACATGTGGCAATATTAAATCCAGACATATGGAATGAGCCAGTTCATGCAAAAATAGAGGTGTGTTTATATACCACTGAGTGGTTAAAATAGTTATTAGCACTCATTCAATACTCCCATTTCACATTAGCAGTAAGTAAAGCAACTATAGAGGGCCTCATTTGACCTTAACTGTTAAGGACATTATGTCAATATTTGTATAATCAAACTAGTGCTCTGCTCTGACAGATTAAGATAAAAGCCAGAAGTACCTCAAATAATGAGATCTTTATTTTTAATTACTCCATGCCTTTAGGCAGCAATTACAATTAAAAAGACTACAAAAGAAATCTGATTGACCTCCAGTTATTTCAGCACTTGAGAGAATCAAGAAAAGGGCAGGGTTTGGAGCAAGTGATATCCATTCAATTCCTAATATAACTTATGCATGCAGTCCTTTTTTATGCTCTTAATGGTTCTACATCAATGCAACTTTATGAATCTGGAGTAATGAAAGAATACAGAAATTTAATTTGTACTTAAGTTTACAAATTAAACACAGCTTGAAAACATTACCCTACAATTTTATGTATATCTTTAAGAAGTTCCCTTCTACTAATATAATTTTTTTGATTCTACATGATTATTTTTCAAAGAGAAAAAAAGTCAAGTCAACTGCTTTAAAGGCAATGTTAATCTTATGTTTTCATGGGTGTGTGTATATATTTGCTTTTAATAAGAGAGCATGCCTTTTTCTATTATACATACACAATCTGCTCTGTCTCCACACCTTAAAAGGATGCTTTACATTTCAATTGCACCAGCATAACTACTAGACCATGTCACTAATCTTCCCCTACTGACGTGTATCAGGAATCTCACACAGTTCCCTTCTATCTTCAGGGAAAAGAGTTAAGTTTCTAATACACAAGAACAGTCTCTTTTACAACAAGTATTCTCAGTTTTAAGGTAAGATGCTTCCTGTAAGATTAAACTAACAAACCATTAATCTAACCACATTTATTTGAATGTAAACTTACCTCTAAATATATTGACGGTGGGTTATGCTCTCCTCCAAATTTGTCTAGCAGCGCCTCTATATGTTCTTGTGTTAATTTAATCATCTGTTTGATATTCCACACCTGAAACAGAAAATTAAAAATTCTTAGAATCAAAAGGAGCCTAGAGATTCTGTCCTACACAAAAAAAAATTTACATTTTCTTGATATTTAATAACAGAAGTCCATAATAAAAGTATTTTAATTATCAGTACAAGAGTGCACAAAGCTATCCTGTTCATCCACTGACAGTAATACAGAGTTTGCTTCTGAGACGAACAGAGAAAAATTAAATTTGGTTTTAAAATTCAGGAACCACTGAATAAACAACTTAAGAACAGTTTATTTTTCATGTTTATCAAAATCATATTAAGTATTTTCCTTGCAAGACTTTGCAACCCTATTTCCACAGTACTACAAATGTTAGCAAAGTTCTATCAAACCTTAAGCAATCTGCATGAACAATATTCACAAAAATCGACACATAGTGTTCTATTTGCATGGGAACAAGATGTCTTGGTCTTAAAGATCACCTTCTATACCCTGACTTCTATACTCACCCTGCAAGTTTTCTTACAGACCTTGGACATAATCTGAAAAAGACATTTACCTCTAGTGCACAGAGAAGACTTAGGGCACCGTACCATGAAACAATTCAGTTTGTCACTCATTCTTCACAACATCTTGAAAGAGTTAATTTTAGGAGTTGGAAACTACTATAGGTGAACAGTATTATGAACCCTAATTTATACCTAAAGATAGCGAAGCATAAACCCAAACTCTTAAAGCAATAACACTACACTGATTGGTTGTACTGAAGTAGTTTGTTAAAAGTCAGAAATTTACAGCAGGGAAGACAGAAGAGAGAAGAATCTCTTCTTCACAGGTGAGTTATTCAGATTATTTATCAGGAAAAATTATTAGGTCAGTTATCAGACCCAGGATGGAATAAATGAAGATAATATAAACAGTGCTTCTTCCAAGGGATTTTAAAGATTCCTGTTACCTTTTTCAGTTTAACACTTTTCTGCTTCACAGATTATAATATATACAGCCTCATGACCAGGTCTGGATTTACAAATTGTGATGATCTACCTCTGTGAAAAGAAGATGCCAATAACTTCATATTCTAAAATAGGCACCAATAATGAGATCCAATTCAAGTTGGATCAAAACAAATTTTACTACATAACTTGCAATGTCCACAAAAAAACACCAAACTCTAAAATACAGAACTCACATTTTGCACACCACCTTATTTACTCCTTTTATTCTAGACATCAGTTATTTGTCAGCAATTTCCTAAAGTAAACTAATAATTGATTCACTTCTAGCCCAAGTTTTAGAACAGATACCAAAACAAAGATTTAATCAAAAAGCTACAAATAAAAATAGTTTGCTCAGGAATAAGCAACCCAAGCTATAAGGAGTGAGGGGGACACCAGAAAAAAAGTGTGCTATTCAAGTATTCCATATGTAAATTCCCTCAAGACAACTGTGGAAGTCAGCTTGCTTCTCAACTTGCAATCAATTTATCATGTTGAAGCTACGGCTGCCAAGCAGCAGCAAAGAGAAGGATTTCTCTATTTTGTTAGTTTTTCCCAAGATGGTGAGGGCTAATTGCATGCTTGGTGAAAAGAACAAGTTTGAAACAAAACTATTTCAATTAATCTGTTTAATATAAGAGTTTAGCTACTATGTAACTGGTAACATGCTGTTAACCTGGGTACGCATACAGAAAATACCTGGCAAACTATGGAATCATCTCAGGATTACCTTCAGAAACTGGTTTCATTAGTACTTAGCAGAACTTACATTATTTGGCTATCCTGGCAGTTTTTCCCACCAAAAGTTTTCTTCAACATGTACTGTACCACAACCAATATTGACAAATTATTGTCCCTGACAATGGGAAATGCGGGAAGATGCTTCACTGACAAAATAACCCAGAATTGCAGAAGGGTGGAGTTTGGAAGGGACCTCTGGAGGTCATCTGGTCCAACCCCTCTGCTCAAGCAGGTTGCCCAGGATCATGTCCAGATGGCTTCTGAATACTTCCCAAGGATAGAGACTCCACAGCCTCCCTGGGCAACCTCTGCCATCACTCAATCACCCTCACAGTAAAAAGGTGTTTCCTGATGTTCAGAAGGAACTTCCTGCGTTTCAGTTTGTGCCCACTGCCTCTAGTCCTGTCACTGGACATCACTGAAAAAAGCCTGGCTCCATCCTCCTTTCACCAACAATCTTTGTGACCCTTCACTGGACTCTCTCCAGTATAGTCATGTCTCTCTTGTGCTTGGAAGGAGAAAAATCAATCAAAAGGCTCAGGAATAAGGACAGGGAGGGGGTTGCTCAGCCACTACAGTCAGAGGCAAAAAACAGACTAGTTAGGGGAAGAAAAAAAAAATAATAAAAAAGACATCACTTGAATTCAAAACACTAACAACACTTAAACAGAATGGGACAGTGAGGGGCATTACTATACCTTAAAAATGCCTCCCCACACCCCTCCCTTCTTCCCAGGCTCAGTTTTGTTCCTGATATATCTACCTTCTCCCCCCCCCAGGCACAGGGGCACAGGAGGGGGGGGTGCAGTCAATCTGCCACTTCTTCCTGCAAGGGAGCTGCATTCTTCCCCCTGCTCCACGTGGCGTCCCTCTCACAGGAGACAGTCCTCCACAGACCTCCTCTGCCCGGAGTCCTCCCCTTGGGATGCATTCTTCTCGAGATGCTCTGGTGTACTGCAGTCCTCCCAGCACTGAACTACAACACTGGGGGCTTCCTCCCTGAGTCCTGGGGGTCCGCTACAGGCGAATCTCTGCTCCTCCAGTGACCTCCATGGGTGACGGGTCAGCCCTGCCACCTCACTCTGCGATCCAGGGGGGCTCTCTGCTCCCCCCCCTTCCTTCCACTGACCTCAGTGTTTGCAGAGGTGTCCTCCTAGTAACTCGTCCTCAAAGTCCCAATCCTCTCTCACGTTTCCTTTCTGAAATACGTTATCACAGGGGCATGGCTACCATCGCTCATTGGTTTGGCCTTGGCCAGATGACTCAGACCCGAGGGAGCTTTCGAGAAGCTTCTCACAAGGGCCACTGCTGTAGCCCCCTCCCCCACTACCAAAAACCCCACCATACAAACTCAGCACACCCTGTCAAGTGAGTTTCCACGTACTTGTTTGGAAAATTTATAATTAATAACTTCCTTGCTCATATGTTTTCTATTTTGTGTCCATAATCACTTCCTTCTTCTCTTACAGTAAAGATACAGAATAACCAATACAACTGAGGAACAGCAACATGCACAGCAGAACCATGTTATTCAGGAGATGTTAGTGAGAGAATCAAACAACATCTAACAAGTGCAGAAATCTTCCTGCTAAGTTAATATCATGACAATAGCAAAAACTGAGTGACTAATAAAGGAAATTAAAAAAACCCAAACCTTACTGCCTGCCAGCTGCCAGGCTATGATAAAAATGTCTTCAACTGAAGACGCTGAAGTTAAAGCCTAATGGAAGACAACATTGATCAGAGGAGCTGAAAACAGTGCCCCGAATTACCTACTATACATCTGTGCACTAAACCAAGAGCCTTTCCACCAGTGAATCTTGCAGGAAAACTTAATATGGATTTCTATCATTTTTGAAAGGCTATTCACACAGTTAAAAGTACACTGAAGGCAGAAGGAAATTTATCAAAGCCAACCATAGCAACAAATCATTACTTGTTGCTCACAGAAATGGAAAACCTATTTTGTGTGCCATATTCATCAAAAGTCTTCCGACAAGCTGAAAAAACTTTCACAAATCTAGTATTGACTAGCATATTCTATCCCTAATCAAGTACGCACAAGAACACATATGCCATGGCAAATTTCCAAGATTCACAGTTTCCCTTTAAGTGGCAACTTCTACTTATTTTTACTTACAGAAAACTTACATTCTGGCTTCCCATATCAGTGAATATGCTTAGACACAGTTTATTGTGATCCAGAGCCACCCTTAACTATCTAGCTCCTTGAGAATCAAGCCCTGTGAATCCTACTATGCAGGATCTTTGACTACTTCAATTCAACTGAATGAACTCAAGCCTTTTCCTAACTGGAATTTGGAACTGGTGCTCTGTGCAAGTAACTCATTGTCTCAAAAATGTCTGCTTCTGCACACCACAGTACCCACAGCTTCTGCCTTACAAAAAATATACCATACCTGTTGCACAGCAAGAAGAGCCAGCAACTTCAGCCCTTCTTTGTCTCCTTACAGACTTGCTTGCTCAGATAACAGCTAAATTTGAATCATGTGGACCAAGCCCAGCCTTACAGATTTTGAGCCAAGATATATCCCCATCATCTCTGTAGAACCTGACACACTAAGTTCTTCAGAAATAGATCTCTTGACTTCAGTAGCACTCACAGATACACGAGTTACTTGCAATTGTCAAAAAAACCCCCTTTAGAGTGTACAAGAATTGCCTAGCATTTTAGGAAGTGCCTTATTCCTTCTAAGAACATACATTCCAGGACAGCAGCAAAGGACTAGCTAACAACAGAGGCAGCAAAAACATGAAATACAGAATCCTTTTAACAATCAGTTCTGAACCAAAGAGCTTGTTTGCAGACAACAGAATTAAACCAAGTTTTTCAAGTTAAATGTGTACACACCGATACCATTTCTTCCTTGAGATCACACAGTAATCCCTTTATCCACACTTTATTCACACTTTCTCTAGAAATAAAACTGCAGTAGCCTGCTGGTTATTAAGAACAGACTATTTTTGTTACCCTTATGAGCACTCTACTACACTTATGAAACTCCACACCTGTAAGAAACCGTAAAATTACAACTGCCAAGTATCTTGCAGAAATACAAAAATTGACGCTGGCCTAAAAGACAGTTGCTAGAAATCTTAATATATTCTGAAACAAATCTATAATGCACCTAGTACTGTCCACATACAAGCCCAGTCCCTTCCCACAGGAAGCAGCATGGTTATTTGAGACACACCATTTCAATGTAGTTCCACAAAAAAGGAATGAATCCTTTACAGCTTGGATAACCTTATCACTTTTCCAAAATAAGCCTCAGA